GAATACTTGCTACCCAAAACCTACCGTAGCACTGTGTGACACTTCAGATCAGCTGTATGTGCCAAACAATGGAAACTTCCTTAAAATTGTGGAGCTGATGGCAGAGTTTGATGCTGGAGCATCTAAGAAGAGTCACCACCCAAGAAATGTTCACACACCACTATCTTGGAAAAAACATTCAAAATGAGATCATACAGTTAGTGGCAACAAAAGTCAAACAGAAGATTGTGGCAGATCTGAAGTCAGCAAGATATTACTCTGTTATTCTGGACTGCACACCTGATATCAGCCATACAGAACAAATGACTTCAATGGTGCGTTTTGTAACAGAAGCTAGTGAAAGTGGCCCTGCAATGGTGACTGTCAGAGCATTTTCTAGAATTTATTGACATTGATAACACTACATTGGTGATGGTATGACATGTGCCTCTTAAAAAGCTGGAAGATACGGGAATTATGATAGCTGACATGAGAGGTCAGGGCTATGATAATGGTGCCAACATGAGAGGAAAGACTAGAGGAGTGCAGACACGGATCTGAGAGAGTTAAACCCTCGAGATTTTTTTGTCCCATGCAGTTCTCATTCATTGAACGTGGTGGTCAGTGATGCAGCATCAGCTTCCAGTGAGGCTGCTGAATTTTTTAATGTAATTCAAAGCATCTATGTATTTTTCTCTGCATCAACTCATTGATGGCAAATTTTGAAACAACAGCTGGGAACATCCTCTCTGACACTAAAACCACTGAGTGCCACACACTGGGAAAGTTGAAAAGGAGGCGATAAAGCCTAACACACACCAAATTGGAAAGATAGATGTCATAGTTACCATTATGGAGGATAATGCTATGACAGGAACTGTTCATGGGAGAACAGTGGCAGTGGGAAATGGAATCACCAGAAACATCCATAACTTCAAATTTCTGTATGGCTTAGTGTTGTGGTATGACATACTGTTTGAAATAAATGTTGTAAGCAAGAGACTCAAGGTGATCTCGATATGTCTGGAGCAATGGAACAACTGGACAAAGCAAAGTCATACCTAGTCTTACCAGTCAGATGAGGGATTTCAAAACATTCTGAAGAGTGCACAGAAGTTGGCAGAGGAACTTCACACTGAAGCTATTTTCCCCACCCATTCAAGAATACAAGAGTCACCGAATAAGACGACATTTTGATTACGAGCAATGGGATAATCCCATGAGAGACCCTAAACAACAATTCAAAGTCAAATTCTTTAACCAGGTGCTAGATTGTGCAATACAGTCAGTTGAAAGTTTCATGCAGCTCAAGGAACACAGCAGTATATTTGGGATGTTGTATGATATTCCAAAACTCTTCAATATACCTGAAGACCTACACCAGCAATGCAGGGCACTAGAGACAGTGTTGAAACATGATAATATGCGCGATATTGATGCGAGTGATTTAGGTGATGAACTGAAAGCGCTTTCAAGATACATTTCAGCAGGATCAACTCCAAAAGCTGTTCTGGAATATATGTAGCACAAATAAGATGACCACCCTCTTTCCAAATGCTTTTGTTGCTCTGCACATACTTCTAACACTTCCTGTAACAGTTGCCAGTGGAGAACGCAGCTTCTCCAAGCTGAAGTGAATAAAAACACATCTACGCTCCACAATGACACAGGAGAGGCTGGTCGGCCTCGCAACCATCTCAATAGAGCCCAGACTATGGACCTTCAGCAGGAAGCAGTTCAAATCTTTGCAACCAAGAAGGCACGGAAAGCACTGCTTTTGAATAATCAAACAGATAAAAATGCCAGTGTTTACTATGCAGACAAGAAAAGTTACATTTGCTGTTCAGGTATTTGAAAGATAAGTGTTGTTCAAAAATTTTAATTAAGGCATTTTAAGTTGTTAGTTCTCCTTTATTGGAGTAGGTAGCTGAGCAGTATAGTGAGAGGCAAAGAACAGGAAGAAGGCAGATTTGAGACCTTTCAAAGTTTTGGCCCAAGCAAGGGGGTGTCATTGGAGTTCCCCGCCTCAGGTGCCAAAATGTTGTGGGCCGGCCCTCATCCATTCTAGGAGTTGTGCCAGTGTAACTTTAAAGAAGAACCCCCCCCCCCCTAACCAAAATAGTTATACCTGTACAAAATCTGTGTACAGGCCAGGCCTTAAAGCATAAGTGAGGCCAGGTTTACATCTTAAAAGTTAAGTCAACCTAGTTCCCTTGCTCAGGGGTTTGACAAATTCACATCCTGAGAGACACAGTTAAGCCAAACTAAGCCCCACTGTGGAGATTGCTAGGCTGACGGAAGAACTCCTCTGTCGACCTAGCTACTGCCTCTGGGCGAGGTGGATTTACTGCAGTGCCAGAAGAACCCCTTCCGTCGCTGCGGTGAGGGCCTACAGTACAGCAGCACAGCCACTGTAGCGTTTCTAGCATGAACACACCCGAAGGATTAGCCCCTTTAACACAGACACTTGGTGCCTAGCCTGGGGTTTCAATAGGTCCCTATAACCATACAATTAAAATGTCACCGACAAAATAAATGCATCAGCCACTCTGCGTAGACTGAAGCATCCAAGTGGCCTGATTTTCAGTCGTACTGTAAACTAGCAGCTCCCACAAGCTTTGATGTGAGCTTAGGGTGACCAAATGTCCCAGTTTTATAGGGACAGTCCCGATATTTGGGGCTTTATCTTTTATAGGCTTCTATTACCCCCCCCCCCATCTGCTATCCCAATTTTTCACTCTTGCTCTCCAGTCACCTATGTGAGTGGCAGATGCATGGCACCTGTGCAAATGAAACAACTGGTTTAGGCATCTAAACACGGAGTTGGGGGCCTCACTTTAGGCCCCCATATTTGACATTCTTGGCTACAGCATCAATCTGAAAAGCAATTTCAAATGAAAGCTTCAGCTTTAAGCTATAACACAAATAGAACCTCATTTTTTAAAGAAGTTGAGTTTAACCCTTTTATGCGACCACACAGAGACTCTAACCTAGGCTGGACATGCAACTTTAAAGTTTTCCTGTCAGAAAATTCTCATTCCTGCATTTATTGAGATCCAAGTGAAAGGGAAGAGAAGCATATTACTGGACAAGTCTTCCGTACAGGAACTCTGTCCTGCATGAGGAGAAAAAATGAAGATGCCCTCTTCTAGGTGTACGCCTCCAGGGTTATGCTTACTTCCTACGATACAGGCAGCACAACCCTGCAGACATGGAGATGTTGCGTGGAGGGTATACAGGAAATAGTATTAAACGCCCCTCTTTAGGAAGTTATTACAATAGCAAAGTGGTGGGGAAAGGCAAGGACTTCTGCTTGCTCATTGCAATACACAAAGGGTGCTGGTCTGGCCCAAAGGATATTACCCCAAAGGCAAGAATGCAAATATCTCCTTATGAAATGAGTGCTGGATTTTGAATGCACAGCATTGTTTTCTTTACATTTGTGGATCTCTCAGCACTAGAATTGGGATGAGACAGGGAAGGCTTAATTCATGTCAGCAGTTTAAGGAGACAACCCATGCCTGGTGATTGTGGGGAGGCGGAATGAGGGCAGCTGGCTTCAACCCCATGCTCAGTACAAGCCAAGCAGCAAATCTGGGGGTGGGGGAGCACATGACCCTGGAGGCCCCTCCGCATGTCCCCCCACTGCACTTAAAATTTAGATCAACGTAGCTCCTTACCCCTATGGTAGTTACAGCTAAGTCAACAAAAGAATTCCTCTGTCAACCTAACTACCACCACATCGAGAGATGGATTAACTTCAGTGAGAGAGAAACCCCTTCCATTGCTTTACGATGCATCTTCAGCACAGGCAGCAGAGCTGGAGCTGTGACATTGTAGCCCCTGTAGGATAGGCATGGCCTCAGTCATTTCGTCTTAGAAAGAAAGGAGTCAGGTGCTGCTGGATGATAAAGAGTTTGTAAGAAAAAAAAAAAACCCTCCACTTTCCATCCACTACTGGCCATTGGGTTTTATCCTAGTTAGTTTAATCAGCTGATTCATTATGGTTTTCAGAGAAGATAGTTATGTAAGACAAAACCACCACCTTAAAATAAAACCTCAACATTTACATACACAGTAACATGATACACAACATAGTTTGCATTAATATACAAGTTATTTCATTAGCAGCTATAACAACTTCACATGTAGTACATGGCTTTACTTTCTACAGTTTTAGGCACACTGGAAAGGTTTTATCAATGGGGTAATGGGTATGTTAGCATACCAAAATAAATACACTGGCCCACACACCCTCAGCTGGTATATTTTTAGAATTATGCCAATTCCCACCAGCTGAGGCTTCAACCCTAATTGAAGAATGAAAGGACAAGGTAACACAAGATTTTGCAATCTCTTATACCTTCAAGATATTAAAAAACTTTATCCACTTTTAAAATGTTATGATTTTACTAATCTACTGAAATTCAGCTTCACCCAAAGAAATACTTGGATATAACAAAATGCTTTTTTAAATGGTTAAGAGGGTGATGTCACCTGTAAAAAAAAAAAAAAAAAAAAAAAAAAAAAAATTAAAAAAAAAAAC